CTTTACAATCCTGTCGTGCGAGTGTAGAAGTGGATACGCAGGGCAGTATTGTGAGAATGATATCGATGCTTGTAAAGTCAATCTAAATCCATGTTATCCTGGTGTTGTTTGCAAAGATCTTCCTCCTCCAGCAAATGAGAGTGGGTACGAGTGTGGACCCTGTCCATCTGGATTGACAGGGAAGGGTGACTCATGCCAAGGTATAATTTACCACTCATTGGATGTATAGTTATCATAGTGTAGTGTGTAGGTAGTGCGCGCAATAATACAATTCTTACAATAAAATAATTCGGTTTTGACTCTAGACATTGACCTTTAATACAACATCACTAACTGCGCTAGTAATTTTTACCTTCAAGAAATATTATCAACAGTTCCAGTGTCGACGCCAAGTTTCTAATTTTCAAGGTTAATCTCGGAAGTGGCCTCTTGCTTCGTGAATGTGAAGAAATGAGACTCTGTTTGCATAGGAACATGGAAGTGAATATCTTATCTTATTTATTTCCTCAGATATTGATGAATGTCAAGACGGCTTAAAGCGTTGTTCAAAATATTGCTACAACACCCCTGGGTCGTTTATTTGTGGTTGTGATGATGGGTACTCACTTCAAAATGATGGTTATACTTGTCAGGGTATAATTCATGCAATTGGACTCAGATTATAAATATTTATTGATAACTCATTAAATAGGTTTGGAAATATGTCTTACATTACTTGTTTCAGTTAATTATTCTTTCCAAATTTTCAGATATAAATGAATGTCAACCTTTAGCTGATTGTATGCAGAAATGTGAAAATACTCCTGGAAGCTATCAATGCAGTTGCAACAGTGACTTCAAAATGGACCCTTCTGATCCAAAAAAATGCATCCGTTAGTTTAGTTATTTGATATTTTTTTTATTTGAATTATGTTCTTTGTGCGATATAAGTATCTGTATATTGTGCTCTGTATTTATTTATTTAGCTAAATTTCCGTGCAAAGATGGAAGTCACGGTTGCCAGCATGTTTGCTTTGAGTCTAATGACGTAGCTACTTGCGCCTGTCATATGGGATATCAGCTGAAATCAGACAAAA